AACTTGTTCGACCTAATCAATGGCCCGAACAAAGATGATGTAGACTTTCCTTCACGAGCTGGAAAGGAAACCAGAGATGATAAAACACGATAGCTACAAGTTCAGACCAAAATTAAAAGATTATAGCTTTAACGTGAGTATATCAGAGCTGATAGAAGTACTAAGAGATATGAGTGATAGGTAGAGTGGTGTCACAACGATCACGGGCATAGAGTGGCAGATTACAGGCTTTTGCAAAGGGGTTGACTATTTCTTGAAGAAGGATTATCTTACTGAATTATTCAACAAAAAGGTGGCATACACGAAGAACAGGAAAAATGAGGAACCACCTACAGTAAATATCATAACCGGATAAGAGAAAGCTAATGGGATAACATTTACAGTAGTAAAGAAACTTGCTAAAGTGTCTCTAACACAAGAAAAACATATTCAACCATAGAAAGTATAATATTTGACGATGAAGATGCAGATGGATTGCTCCATATAATGATGCATTAGTAATTACTTTACATATTTATGATACTAAGTAAAAAAAGTTTTAGTTGATCCAGGAAGCTCAAAAAACATTATACAGATACGAGTAGTCAAAAAGATGCAAATGGTAGATCAAATCATCTCAAATGCTCGATCTTTGTCCGGATTTGACAATTCAAGCGTGATTACGAAAGGAGAGATCACATTATCGACTTTTGCTAAAGGAATAGTGAAAGATACCTCCTTTCAAGTGGTGGTAGCCGATATGACTAATAACATAATTTTGGGACGATCATGGATTCATCAAATGGTTGCAGTACCGTCAATATTGCATCAAGTTATCAAGTTTCCTTCAAAGTGGGGAATAAGGCAAATCAAGAGCAATCAATGTGCGGCTCGGTAGCTATAGCTAATGGTTTCTCTAAAACTGAAGATAATAAATAGCAGTTGAAGCATCAAGCTATGTAGGTGAGTGATCACTCAACAGTCATAGAATCAGTCTCGGAGGCTAACACAGTACATAAGGGAAACCAGATGTAATCATAGAACCAAAGAAAAATAATATAATCAAAACAAAATTGGAAGAGCTCGAAGCTGTTATCTATTCGTCAATTAGCATGAGAAAAAAGTTCATATCGAATCAATTCTCATTTTTGAGCAAAAACATAAGTTAATTGAATTTTTATGAGATACCCCTGATTGTTTTGCTTGGTATATGATAGGTATTCCACCGAATGTGATGACACACAAGCTCAATATGAATCCTTTGCACACTCCCGTTAAGAAAAATAATAGGAAACAAGGGTTTTTTTCGAAATCAAGTGATAGAAGAAGATGTAAGTGAACTCTTGAAAGTTTGATCTATTTGAGAAGTTAAATACCCTGATGGGTTAGCCGACAATATCGCGGTACCAAAAAAGAATGGTAAGTGAAGAGTATGTGTAGATTACACTAATTTAAATAAAGCATGCCCTAAAGATTCTTTTTCTTTACTGCATATTGATCAATTTTTGATTCTATTGTCGGACATGAGTTTTTGAGTTTTTAGATGCTTATTCTTGGTATAATTGTTACACCCCGCAATATTACGTCAATGTTACGCTCCGCAGTATTATATTACGATGATGTTACGCTCCGCAGCATTATATTACGGCGTTGTTACACCCTGTAGTATTGTACGTTGAATTTGTCGTAAGATAATTGACATCGTTCAAGGACAAGATTATGTGGAGATTATAAGTATTATGTTATTTCAAACAAGTGATAAGTAAATTCGTGAAGGTGAAAGGGTAAACGAACCAAAAAAAATGAGTTTCGTTGAAGGTTGTCAATTTGGGATATAATACGATCCGAGCCATGATACCCGATATTTATGGACTAGTGCCAGACAAGGTACCACACGACCATGATAGTAAGGTATATAAGGTGTATTAAAAGTAAGTAGTGTTTTAAGTAATTTGAGATAATTATTAATTATGTGGGTTATTGGTTAATTATTGGATTAATGGGTGATTAATAAGTTGATTAAGGAAATGAGTGGATAATTTTGGATAAGCCTAACCCCCCTAACGTGGCAGCAAATCAAAGCCCTATTTGGTGACTCTTAAATCATGAAACAAGGTGGCATAGTTAGGAGATTTGGCCAAGGATTCATTCTTATCCAGTGGGGCCCACACCACTATAATAAAGAACATTTCTAATTCATTCATTCATTTTAGGAAAGATATCACACAAGATTATGATCAACTACACAAAATAGAGAAGCGTACATCCCATCTCTAAGTAACGATCTTCAGCAAGATTTCATCAATGAACATATATGATAGTAATGTGAGTTACTTCAAAAATAATTTATACGAGACTTCTTAGCATAATAGCAATGAAACTTTGTGATTCTAAGGAAGTACGGTGAAATATTTCTCAAGAATATCATTCGAATTTTCTCCCACTTCGATCCGCCGTTACATGTTGTCGCAATTGACGTGTGTTGGAAGGATTGTCAAGAGAATCGGCTCAGGTATGTTAAGGCTATCCTTTCTTTCCTTTTGGCACGATCCATACGATACAAATGAAACGAGCAAACGCACAATTTCCATAAATGATTCTATTCATAGAAATACTAGAGATGCCTACATTCATGATTCCCCATGTGCCCTATTATTCTATCATCTGTTCATGGGTCTCAGAAAATACGTAAGTTGATAAAGTTTACTCCATGACATTAATCTAAGGCATAATGGTCTTATGACATTCCGAAAGATTTTATTGACGTACTTCACATGCATTGCATTTATTTATACATGTAAATTGACCCATGACCAGATGGCATTATATACGTGTATATATGTATATATATGTATATGGGATATGGGAAAAGGTTACGGCGTTATATACGCACCACCACCTGATCAGCTGGTATACATTGATGATTTGCCCACAGTGGCCGAGATGATATGATGGGATGCCCTCAGAGGCTTGATGATATTATGAACGCATATACCCATACATGGTATGACATTTATACGCATATGCATGACATTATAAGTATTAAATGATTCACAGAGCTATTCAGACATATATCTTGAGTATTTTACTCCATGTTTCTCTCATGTCTTTTATTTACTGATTTTCATTCCTTACATACTCGATACATTATTGTACTGACGTCCCTTTTGCCTAGGGACACTGCGTTTCATGCCCGGAGGTCCCGATAGACAGGTTGAGAGTCCTCCAAGTAGGCTATCAGCTCAGTGGAAGGTGTTGGTGCGCTCCATTGATTGGTATGGAGGGCCTTGTCCCGACCTTTACGATGTTTATGTACTCTTAGAGGCTTGTAGACAGATGCCATGTACGTGAAAGATTGTATGGCCTTGTCGTCCCGTGTTCAATGTACGAGTGATCATTTTGGTCTTATAGGCCCGTATGTCATATGTATAAGTTTAGAATACATGTTGGGTCGTCCAATATCGAGTATTTTCTCATATTTTATTCTACTTATATCACGACAGCCTCTTCGGCTCATTTACCTATGATAGTATGATAAGAAAGATAAGTTACATTGGTACTCGGTTGAGTAAGGTACCGGGTGCCCGTCGCGGCCTATCGGTCTGGGTCATGACAATAATCAAATTAAAATATCTCGAAGACGAGTAAAACTTTATTTATTACAGACCGGGACTTACTGTTACAAGATCATGCCACTACAACATAATGCATCTATAACTACGAATTCTTAGCTACGAATATAAATTTTCTGGCTATTACGTAATAATAGCCATAAAAATTAAGTTTCGTGGCTATTCACAAATTGCTGAAATTTCTTAGCTACAAAAATTAAATTGGCAAAGCTAATACCTCATTTTTGCTATAATTAATTTATGTCGTGGCAATAACTGCCTAAATAGCTACAAATTTATTGCTACACTAAAATTTAGTAGCTAATTATTAGTTTTTGCTACATGATTGAACTATTGTAGCAATAATAACCTTTTAGCCACAACAAATTATGTTAAATAAAATATTGAACATCTTTGCTTCAAGTTATAAAAAGCATGGCAATAGTGGGGTCAATAGCTACGATGGAATATCATGGCAAAATAATATAGCCACGAATTTATATAGCTACAATAAGTATTGTAGCTAATTCTAATTTTTTGCTATGCATTTGACATCACTATAGCTATTGTAATATTCTAGCCACAATATATTTGTTTGCACATATTTTATAGCTAAAAGAATAGTCTTGCTTCAATTTTAAAAACTCGTAGCAATTGTTGGGACATAATAGCTACATTTATTTATCATAGTAGCTACATGTATTACATATTGCCTTGTTAGTCCCTTTATAAGGCAGAACATGAATTGAAAATTCATACTAAATTTCAGTTGTCCATGCCTGGATTTTCATTAAACAAAGAAGCATAAAAATTAACATACTATAATTGGGACGATAAGCAACAGAGCTCGGGCCATTAACGGCATTGCCATGAGCAGATTAATAATCTACAACACAACAAAGACCAAGTGAACATTTCGTTACCACAATCAAAAGGAAAAACATTTTCTTTTTAGAAAGTAAGAGATTGCTCATGTGACTCCGGATGAACCTTTATCATGGAGCAGAGGTTTTTCATAGAAATCTATGCAGTACTCTTGAAAACTAAAAAGTACAAATACAGAAGCAGTAAAATCAGCAAAAGTTTTGCACCTATACTTGGACAGCCAAGAAAAGTTAAGCAAATCTATAAGTTTCAAATGCGCAACTTATACATCTGCCAACCGATTACCTCTTGTTACTCCAACATTTTGAATTAATGAACGTATTAAAAAACACTTCACTCGCCTGAATTAGATCAATGAGAAAACCCCACATAAAAACCTTCCGATTGAAACACTTCACCCAGCTAAAATCAGTACCATATCGCACGGCTAAATGCTCAAGTATTGAAATTCTCAGCTGATCAAATAAGAAAAAGTATCAACATTAATTGAGTGTAACCAAATATGCATTTAAAACTTCTAAATATTTATAGTAACAAATCTTCATCATCAGTTTCAGGGTCTGATTCGATGTCTTCAATAATATCATCAGCTAAGGTAATATCAGTACTGATAACATCGATATCATTTCTTCTCCAATTGATAAAGTCTTCATCTTCCTCAAATGTACATGGGAAATCTTGAGCATCTTGTTGAAAAGTTTCTTCACTGACAGCACCACTCGTAAAATAAGTAGAATGACCATTCAAGACAATGGACCAATTCGGATGAAGATTATCCTTGACATAAAAAACTTGTTCTACTTGAGATGCAAGTACAAATGGTTCATTTGTTGCTAGCTTTCGGTTAGTATTAACACTAACAACGCCATGTTTATCTATCTTCACTCCTTTCCCAATGTGATCAACATCCATCCAATCACATTTAAATAAAATAATTCGTTTGCCTTCGAGGTATTGAAGTTCTACTATTTCAGTCAGAACACCATAATAATCTATATTTTGACCATTCATTATTCCTCGTACTAAAACACCACTATTTTGCTTCACTCTATTTCCTTCCAGTTGTTTAGTATGAAATCTAAAACCATTTATTTCATACCCTTTGAATCTTTGGACTCCATCAAAAGGACCTCTAGCCAAAGAATACAACCCGCGACTTGCATGTGAATTTTTTTCCTTGCGCATTTGCACGATCTACATAAAAATAAATAATAAAATAATGATGCTAAAGAAGTATTATAAGTAACATTAAAAATACAGTGAAAACTTACTCGATGGAAAAACCAATCATCGAAGTTCATGTTCCTATTGTTCTGCTCGTACTCGCTGTTTAAAATAACCATAATAATGAGAAATGGCTAACAAAATTAAATTCACAATATATAATACCATAAATAAACAATAACAACAACAACAATATGCCTAGTGTAGTCCCACAAGTGGGGTCTGGGAGGGTAGAATATACGCTGACTTTACACATGCCTTTAAGAAGGCAAATAGGATGTTTCTGGTGGACCCTCCGCTGAGGGAGGGGAGGACAATAACAAGCAAACTGATCTGACAACCGAAGGCAAAATACAAAACTAGTAGTAGGTAATCAATCAAAAAATCGAAAATAAAAGACAACAATAAGTAGTAATAGAAGTCTAGGGATACCGAAAAGAAAAAACACGAAAGACACCAAATGGTGTATCAAAATTTATTTTTAGGAAAGTGTTCGGAAAAAAAAAAGCACGAGAAGAGTTTGGCATTTTCTTTTAGGTGATGATTTGATTATTTACCATACAGACCCAAAGGAAACTTTTTAAATGAAAATTGGAAAATACATGCTACATATCTAATGTGCACGATACAGTAGATTCCTCAACTAATAAAGTTCTTACTAAGGCATTTTTACCAAGATAATTATAGCCACAAAAAATCATCAAAAAGAGTTGTAACCAATATGAATCGGAAAGATTTACTTGATGAGATTTAAACAAAGATCATAAACAAGAAATCATGAGCTTATCTTCACTGGACAATTCCAAAAAGAACCTTTATGGTCGAACACTTCTAACTCAAACTCTTATAAATGCTTGGATGTTACTGTAGAAACAATAGCATAAAGAAAAATAATACCGTAGAAATGGTTGAACTTCTTCACAATTTCTCAAAACATAAAGATGAGCTTGTTTTCGTTCAACCTCTTCAAGAGTTCTAGATGTATCGCTTAATAAAGGGCAACCCTTCTGCTCAAATATTGATAATCCATTGCATGACTCAGCATGATCACCTTCATAATTTTTGTCCACTGGATTAAACCTCTCCCACTTCCATGTAAATACCTTGAACAAAATATTAAACTTTCTTCAACAATATACCCTTCTGCAATAGATCCTTCAGGTCGACATCTATTACGAACATAACATTTCAATTTGCGCAAGAATCTACATGATATAAGAAGCAGTTGAACTCTTATCATGATAAATTAAGTTAAGCTCTTACCATGATAAACTAACAAGCCATAACAAATAAAACTGAAATTATGAAATAGAAAAACATACCGCTCTATTGGGTACATCCATCTGTATTGTACAGGTCCATCAATCTTGGCCTCTTGTGGAAGATGAATGACCAAGTGCACCATAATATCAAAGAATGTTGGCAAAAATATTTTTTCTATTTGGCTCAACGTAATTGGAATTTGAGTTGCAAGCCGATCTAACATATCAACTCCTACATTTTTTGAACATAACTCTCTGAAGAAAATGCTTAGCTCGGTAATAGCAGCATAGACATGGTTTGGTAGGATTCCGCGGATTGCAAAAGGAAGCAGTTGTTCCAAAAGAATATGAGAGTCATGACTCTTCAGTCCATAAATTTTACGATCCTCTAACTTTACACACCGTGATAAATTGGAAGAATATCCATCTGGAACCTTAATAGTTTTCAAGAGCTTGCATACTTTAGACTTATCATCTGGTGATAAACTATAGCATGCTGCTGGATAATACCACTTTCCATCTTTTTGAGTTGGATGCAATTCTTTTCTTATACCCATTTCCTTCAAATCACGACGAGCATTCAAATTATCTTTCGTTTTTCCTTCCATATCTAATAACGTCCCAATAATATTATCACACACATTTTTTTCAATATGCATGACGTCTAAATTGTGACGTATTAGATTATTTTTCCAATAAGGAAGTTTGAAAAAGATGCTTTTCTTCCTCCAATTATGAATGCCTTTACTTTTTTCGTATCTTTTTCTCTTTTGGGTCTTACCAAATTTAATGTCTTCCAAGCTATCCAACTGGTTTAAAATATCATCTCCAGAGACAATTTTTGGAGCAGGTCTTCTTTCTACTTTCCCATTAAAATCACGTTTATTTCCCCGCCACCTATGATTAAGCGATAAAAACCTACGAGCACCTATGTAAGAGAACTTACGACCATACTTTAATCGAGTAGACAGAGTCTCTTTGTTGCATGAAGGGCAAGCCAAAGCTCCCTTTGTGCTCCATCCAGACAAGTAGGCATAAGCTGGAAAATTATTTATAGTCCATAAGAGTGCTGCCCGCATACAGAAGTTTTCCTTTCTCGAAGCATCATATGTATCGACTCCATTATACCACAATTCTTGTAACTCATCCACCAAAGGTTCTAAGTACACATCAATATCATTTCCAGGAGCTTTAGGGCCAGGTATCAACAAAGACAAGAAGCAATATGGTTGCTTCATGCACATCCAAGGGGGTAAGTTATACACAGTAATAATTACTGGCCAAGTGCTATGAGAAACACTTAAATTGCCGAAAGGATTTATCCCATCAGATGCTAATCCAAGTCTAACATTACGAGGATCTCTGGCAAAGCCCGGGTTAGATGTATCAAAATGTTTCCATGCATCTGAGTCGGCTGGATGTCTAAGAACCCCATCTTTCAAACGTTGATCGTGATGCCATGTCATGTCTGAAGCTATTTCTGATGACGTAAACAACCTTTGCAATCTTGGTTTCAAAGGAAAGTAACGTAAAATTTTTCGAGGAATTTTGCTCCCATTTTTTTCTGTAGTAGCCCCATCAGCTTTTTGACCTTCCCTTGATTTCCACCTAGACTCGCCACAAACCAAGCAAGATTCACCTTTTGCATTTTGTTTCCAAAACAACATACAATCATTTTCACAAGCATGTATTTTTTCATAACGAAGACCTAAACTTCGAATCACTTTTTTTGCTCCATAGAATGATTCGGGTAAAGTTTCACCAGAAGGAAGTGCTCGTTTAATTAACTTCATTATGCAATCAGTTGCTTTATCACTCAATCCATAAAGGCATTTAATTTGGAACAGCTCTACAATCAGTGACAACTTGGAAAATTTCTCGCAACCAGGATAAAGTTGTTGTGCAGCATCCTCCAGTAATTTGAAAAATTCCGAAGCTGGTTCAGAAGGATCAACCCCACCAGAATTGATATCAGGGCCAGTAGCATCATAAATCATTTCAAATATATCATCACCTTGCTCTTTTCTTACTTCCTCTTGTCTTATTTCATTATCGTTAGTGATTTGCTCCTTGGGTGCAAATTCTCCATGAAAAAGCCAACGAGTGTACCCCTTGACTATCCCAAAAATTATTAAATGTTCCTTTACTTCGTCTCTAGTTTTGTGAAAAATATTGTTGCATTTTTTACAAGGACAAGGAATTTCACCTTCTGGTTCTATGTGCTTAAAAGCAAATTGAAGAAAATCCTCAACTCCTTTTAAATATACATCGCTCAATCTATCGTTACGGCGCATCCAAGTCTTGTCCATTTCAAAATTTCCTATAAAGAAAAATAAAATAAGATCAAGATGCTTAAAAAAGAAAGATCACTTAACCATGATTATACAATTTAGAGGCTAATTTCAGTTATGTATCTTGAATCAGATAGCAACTTTTACAAAAGATAGAGAATAAATCCAAAGAAACATTTTCCGAATACATAATTTGAAAGCAATCCATAATCACATTACTAATTATTACAGTAAGATGTTTGTGATAATGAAAAACTGGAAGGTATTATGTAATGGATGAAAGAATCCGTAGCAATTGCTACTAAAATCACCTTCGAATTAATAATTAAAGCAAGGGAAATAAGAATTGCAGAAAGAATAGGGAAAAGAGAATGAACCAAAAGACTACAGCAGGTGAATTTAAATGCAAAATGATACAACAGAGTATATTCTACACCTATAAACAGATACAAAAATATATATAACTCCTTTGGTGCCAGAGGTTTTGGCATTCCTATTTGGATAGCAGATCTCAATATCGAATGGGGAAATTGCACATTTCTCTTTAAAATTTAAGAAACTGTTAAAGGAATTCAACATTGTGATAGCTTATATTTCTATTCTGTGTTGTTAAAAGAAGCTTTATACTATTCACATTTTCATTTGGACGGAGGAGTTTTCTAGATGTGCTGCTATTGGAAGAGTTGAATCTGATGCAAATATCATAAAAATGAAGACTCTCTTCATCTCTCAGGACCTGTGGGAATTAGTCGATAGGGGCTATAATGAAATAGGGGTTTCGGCTGAAGCTCTCAAGGAATTCAAGAAAAAAGATGCTAAAGCTCTTTTTTCTCATTCAACAAGCCATAGATGACAACATCTTTACATGAATTGCAGCTGCAACAAAGTCGCGAGATGCCTGGAATGCACTACAACTTGGCTATCGAGGGACTGCCAAGGTTCAATCTGTAAAGTTGCAAACACTTAGAAGAAAGTTTGAGGAATTTTTTATGAAGGACGGTGAAACTATGGGCCTATTTTTGCAATGTACTGGAGGTTGTCAACCAGATCCGCAAGTATGATGATCAGAGACCCAAATGCTACTACTGTAAGAAGCGGGGTCACATTGAAAAGTTCTATCGACTCAAAACTGAACACGCGAAGTTTGCAGAGGAGAAAGAAAAAGAAAATGAGACTGAAAGTTTGTTCATGACTTGTTTTACTGGTACATACTCTCGCAGGTTTGGTATATGGACAGCGGTTGCAGCAATCATATGACAGCAAACTTGAATGCTTTCATCAACTTGGACAAGTCAATCAAGAAGCAGGTGAAGATGGAAGATGGTACGATTCGTCAAGCTTGTGGAAAGGGTCTGTCAAGGTTAATTCTTGTAGTTTCAGCTGCATTAATGATGTTCTATATGTACCTGATTTGGATTCAAGTTTGTTGAGCATGGGGCAATTCCTAAGAGATGGTTATGCACTTCTATTCGAGGATATGGCATGTGCTATTTTTTTTCGATAAGACGAAGAAACACATGTTGTTCAAGGTACCTATGGCAGAGAACAATCCTTTCTTCTTGGAGTGTAATGACCAAGCACTTGCAGCCACTTTGGATGACGATAGCTGGCTATGGCACCACAAGTATTTCTCTTGTTAATACTCTGCTTCTCTTGATCTTGCAGTCAAGCAGAGAAGTGTTATTGTTTCCTTCGAACCAGATTACTAGAATTAACAACAATTAGTCTAAGATAGCCAGAGTATCTGCCCATAAATTTTTATCGCTTAACTCATAAACTCTATTAATCATTGTTAATTATGTACATTACTTGATTTAATTTTAATTCTTTTGAGGACTCCAACAATACACACAAAGTGATAAAACAAAATCACATTAAACAGGCAGTACATCTTTCATACTGGAAGAGGCCATATGCCATAGCAACCCTGATACACAAAATCCCACATTTTGCTCCTAAACAGCAACTATCAATATTCAACACCAAACCAATATTCACCACAACAATTAGCATTCTAAGCAGCCCAACAGTGAACCTTCGACTAGAAAGAAACAGAAGATAGAGATTCTAGTTTTAAGCAAATAAGAAGAAAGAAATTTCAGAAAACAGAAAAAATAAACTTACTCTGTCGGAAGATATCACCAATTGCTGCCAACGGAGATGAAGAATGAGGTTGAGGCTTCATCTTTGAGAGAAATTTGGAAGAGAAATTAATTTTGAGAGATGAGGGTTTAGGGATATTTTGGTACGGTATAAATTAGATCGGATAAAGGGACGCTTATGGGGATTGTACTTCCTGTTCTAAGGAATGCACATATATGTCAAAGTTGCATATTATACACTTTGGTCCATAATACTTTATACTATATGTTAAGATTTAAAATTTTAGAGGTGTTCATTCTTGGATTCAACTTAATTTTACGGGTTCTTTCTCGTAAGTATCAGATTAATTTAAATAAATAAGGTGATTATCTCTAATTAATCGGACATGTTCTATCAAAATAATACCTTTTGGAGTAATTAGAGGTGTTCATCGTTTAGTTCAATCTAGTTTTACAGGATCTTACTTGTAAGTTTCTAATATAATTTAAATAAATAGGATGATAATCGCTAATTAACATTGATAAACTCTTTTATCGAATTTAAATAAAGCTTTATCAAGTTTGCTCAAGCTTCACCACGATCAAGTACTTTGAGAATAGTTATTTTGGGTAGACATGTTCTACCGAAATAATACCTTTTAATGTAATTTATGGTGTTCATCGTTCAATTCGATCCAAATTTGCAGGAGCTTACTATCTTAACTACTTGTAAGTTTCACATATAATTAAAATAAATAGAGTGATCATATGAAATTATTAATGATTAACTATTATATTAATTTAAATAAAACTTCACCAAGCATCGCTCCAGTTCTATCATGATCAAATACTTCGAGATAGTTATTTTACTCCGACGTGTTCTATCGAAACAAAATCATTTAGGGTAATTAGAGGTGTTCTTTTGACTTAATTTCACAGTATCTCTAATTGAGTTTGATTAACAATTATATCAAGTTTAAATAAAAATTTCACCAAGTATCGCTCAAAATCTATCTTGATCAAGTGCTTCTGATTCGTTCTATTGAAACAATACTTTTTAGGTTAATTAGAAGTGTTCATCACTCAGTTCGACCTAATAGCACACGATCTTACTCATAAGATAATTTAAATAAGTAAGGTGATAACATTGATTAACTCGTATCTCGAATTTAAATAAAACAGTCACGACCCAAAAACTAACCATGTCGTGATGGCACCTATCTTGGTACTAGGCAAGCCGACACATTTCCAAAACAAAACCATATTTTCATTTTCAAGATAATCCCAAAGACATTTAATATAAAATCTTCATAAGAAGTTCAAATCAAAACAAAAGTGCGGAAAAGAAAACCCGACATTGGGTGTCACTAGTCGACACCGAAACCTATCAAATCACGTCCAAATGACCTCAAATTTTACATACAAGTCAGAATGACACCACGAACCTACTCCAACTTCCGAAATTCCATTCCGACCCCGATATCAAACTTAAGAGACTAAGTGACTCAATTCACTTCAAAACCACTACGGACCCGAACCAACTAACCCGGTAAGTCATAATACAGCTATAGCGACACAAAAGAAGCAAAAAATAGGGGAACGGGGCTATAACTCTCAAAACGACCAACTGGGTCATTACAAAAACTTCACCAAGCATCGCTCAAGATTTATCCTAACAAATGCATGCTTAGAGAATAATTATGTTACTCGGACCTTTTTTTTAATCAAAACAATACCTTTTAGTGTAATTAGAGGTGTTCATCGTTCTATTCGACCTAATTTTGCAGGAGCTTACTAGATTACCAATAAGTTTCACATTCTACAAATAAATAAGGTGATCATCTCTAATTAATATTTATTAACTAATGTATCGAATTTAAATAAAACTTTCACTAAGTATCACTCAAGTTTTATCCTGATCAAGTGCTTCGAGACTAGTTATGTTAATAAAATATAGTTATATTAATAAGTTACAAACTAAAATAGATAAATATAATTAAATTATATGGAATAAAAATATGTTTATATTAATAATATTCTTATCTAACTTCTTTTTGTTGGTCTGATTTTAGGAGGAGGGAAACATGAATTTACAACTTGAAAAATAAAATACGATTTTACCAAAAGCCTCCAAATTATTTCCCTCTAATTTTTTGTGCCTAAATCACAGCTTCTTTTCCTATTAGAGACACCAGTGAGCAAACATAAACTAAAAGAATAAAAACCCTAAAATACTAAAAGCTATCAGAATTGAGGAGCAAAGGGGTACGCCTCTTCCTTGCATCAAAGGTACGCATATTCAATCTGATCCGTTTTCTTTGCTAGAAACCTTAAGAATTTCTTTACTTTCTCCTTTAAGCTTCTTTGATTGTAGTATTACGAACTCATTTTACTTTTACGTTCTTTTCTTTGCTAGAAACCTTATTTTTTGCACTTTAACAGAGATGAGAAAATACATGGATACATGGATATTTTTTGCACCAATTTTTTGCACTTTATATTAATGATTGATCAACTAGTGTAATTTTTCTCAAACTTGTTTACTCATTAATCTAATTCTCTTTAATGTAAAGCCGTGATGGGTTTCGTTTAGCACACTAAGCAACTTGAATAATATTTTAGTTTGAACTTATGATCATTATACTAATTGAGTTTTTCATTCAGTTTATTTTTAACATTAAAAACGTTATAGTTTGATAACACTGCATCTTGAGTTTCTACTTAATTATAAATAGTTTTACACTTTGCTTCAATTACTGATATGGAAATAGCTTGGGACCTAGTGAATAGTCCGCAGCCTTTCTTGTGGGTAATTCGGTCTGGTTCTATTACTGGAAATTATTGAAAATATATTGATGTCTTACAAATACTTGTTTATAATTAGACATGGGTAGAAATGGTCTTCGAAAAAGAAATAATCGATTGACTGATGATCAT